GGTGTGACACGGAAATTTTCTTAAGCCCGAAAACCCCACAAAAGTTGCCCAAAACCTCTTTAATATTTGATTTTTTGTTATCAGATATTTAATTTATATCTCTGCACGAAAAGTTAAACATGAAAAACAAAACCAAAAAGACTATAAGCCATCTAAAAACTGGACATAGAAAATCAAATTCCATTCTCGTCAACATACGTTCAAATCCTCATTATGTTGGCAAACGTCCAAGTAAACGTAAAATTATAAAATTTTATAAAGATCTTTTAACATTTTATGAAGACGAGGATACAATGATTCAACAGCCTGAATCTTCCAAGACGTTTCAATCAAAAAAGACACTTAATGTTGGCCATGTTAAGAAAATTACTAAAAAACAAACATCTGTCAATAAAAGACAAGTAAAAAATTCTGATGCGTTAATTTTGAAACGTAACAATCAAACTCGCAATAAGTCAAACGCTAAGATATCTACTAAAAACAAATCAAATTCAATTAATGTGGAAATACCATCTAAAGCTGTCAAACATATGAGTAATATTAATTTATTTTATATTAATATATTTTAATATACAATTTATATATTTTACAAAAATATTTATAATTTTTGAATCAATAGATCCGATTGTATTGATCGAAAGAATTCCACAAGACATTTGTAATGTTGCAGAATTTATACAAGTTTTTTTTATATTAATCTTATCAATTAGATGTATGTGCAGTAGGTGTAAAGTATTTTCATAATTTTGTATATGATAACCTCCACTTGTCAACCGGTCCGTTATCTGTCATCATCAGCTGACCGTACACTGTGCACCTATACCAATATTGTAATGTCCCCTCAATGAACGTGTTCAAAGTTGGCACCACCACCACCCAGCGTCACGATCACCGGCCACTACACAACTGCCGCTACAACATTTTTTTTTTTCCACCTGTACTGCAGAGGCGACAAGTTGTCCGCTGTGTTTCTGAAAAAAACCACGTTTTTGCATTTTTTTTGTCCTCCGTTTTTTTTTTATAAAATAAACGTCGAGTCGACCTGCTGTCTACTTTGGAGTCAACCAGGCTGTAATTTTTTTTGTCCTCCGTTTTTTTTTTATTAAAATAAATGTCGAGATGATGATGATGGGGATGTGAGGCGTAGCCATGGCCGGTGGTGGGCCGTCACCCTTCAATCAACAAACAAGTACAACATCAAGAAACCCCTTTTACCCCCCTTTTAATTTGTGTATCAAGCACCTCCTTTTCTTTTTTCTTTCTTCTTTCCTATGACTATATCTATATCTTAAATAGTAATTATACATTTTTTTAACTAAATAATTAAAAAAATGTTGTTATATTATACATGGCCTCTTTTTTTTTCTCTATACTTTTCCCTCATTTTCATTAATATTGGTTTTTTTTGTTTTTATCAAAACCTAGTAGCTCCGTCAGCAAGTAATATCTTGTTTGGCGCGGCTACTAGGTCACTGTCCAGTGTTCCCCCTGGGCAGTGGGTAATTAGTAGGCCCTCTGTTTGGCTGAAACCTTACACATTATAGACTATTATGTGTCTATTAAAAAAACTAATGCAGGGGAAATAGTAAATAATTCTGGTGAACAAGAAAATGTAAGAATTAACAATTCTGAAACCCACAAGATGTATCGAAAAAAGAATAGAACTCTTGTCATCGACATTAACATACATTTAAATCCTCATTATGTTGGCAAACGTCCAAGTAAACGTAAAATTATAAAATTTTATAAAGATCTTTTAACATTTGATGAAGACGAGGATTCAAGGATTCAAAAGCCTGAAACTTCCAAGACTTTTCAATCAAAGAAGAGAGCTCATCTCGACGACGTTAACGATTCACGTAAAAAAATTAGACTAACAAATAAATATGAAGACAAAGTAAATAATTCTTATACTCTTAATTTAAATCGTAAGAATAAAACTCCTGACGTGTCAAACGTTGAGATATCTACTGAAAACAAATCGAATCCAATTAATGTGGAAATACCATCCGACAATGTCAATCATATGAGTAAGTGTCATTTTTTTTATAATAATATACACATATGCATAGAATGAGTGAGTAAAGTATGTCAGCTGCATCACATTCTTGATATTTTGTGTCTTGCTAATATTGCAATTTAAAACACTATACGGCCTCAATATGTATTGAAAATTTAGACTGGGGAAAAAGCCTAGTTGTCTCCACCCAAATGACGCCTTTGCTTTTCTTATAAAAAAAAATCAAATTCCATTGTTAGAATATATATAATAGTTTGATAGTAACAGCTAATCAATCATTCATTTTATACTATTATTAAAAATATATAAATAATATATTTTTAAATTTTGTATTAGTGTATTTTAGAGTTGTATTTTGTTTTAATGTTTCAAGTAATAAATTAATGAAGTATATTTCATAGAGCTTTAGTTTTTAATAATTAAATTTAGTCTAATTAAGTCACTTAATTATACATATAACACGTAAACCATAAAATAATCTAACATTTAACTAACATTTTGGAGGGTGCTAATTGGATTTTCATCTTACCCCAAACAATTATACAGAATGTCCAACTAGGTTAGACATATTTTATTATTTTTGATCAAATAATAATTTCGTTGAAATAATAACTTAATATGTACTTTTCCTAAAATTATCATCGACTCACAAAATTTTTTTGTAAGATAAGGCTGAATAATGGCTATTTTAAAATTTTGAAGAAAATAAAATTTCAACAAAATTATTGTTGTATTATAAGTTATAAGTCATATCAAAACATACGTAAATTAAAAAAATGTTGGGGGTAATTTTGTCAATTGAGGAGCTTAGCACCTTCTTGTTTCCTAGTTGTGTTTATGACAAGAAACCCTAAAGGAGTTCCTCGGAAACCCTTCTACACTAAGTCTAGTAAGCGAATAGCAAAACCGCGTTACTTTAAACATATTTTTAATTTTTGTTTTGAAAATAACATACGAATTCTTATGAAATTATCATAGTANCATTTTTGTTTTTAAAATAACATACGAATTCTTATGAAATTATCATAGTAATATTTATTTTTATATATTCTTTTTTAAAGTTCCAATGGTGTTTATAAAAAAGATTTCGTCATTTTATAATAATATAATTACTTTTTAATATAAAAATGATTTATTTTGTATAAAATTGTTATCAAAAAATTAATTTATAATTTTGGTATTTATAGATCCTTTTGTGTTGCACAAAAGAGTTCCGCAAGAAATTATAGACTCCTATGTGTTTAATAAAACAATACAATCGAACTAGAAAAATTAGTAAATAATATAGAACTATCTAACAATGTTGATGGCATAAATAATTTTAATACACCAACTGATAATCCTACAAAAAATTAAAAGTTATCTACGAATAGCTCTACAAAGAAAGTTTCTAAGAAAAAACGATCAAAAAGATCTAGATTCAATTGATGAACTCATCTAAACATTTAACTTTGATAAATCATGACCAAGCAATTTACCTTATAACTCTTACATTTTTTGCTGCAGAAACTATAGATTTAATCTAAACAAATTTTTATTGAACTATACTCTGCGGATGACTTACAATTGTTGAAAAATCAACAGTGTTGTATTATAAACAACTTTCAAGTTGGTAATAATTTTTGTGAACTTCGTTCAAGAATTTTCAATTTAATGAATAGTTTCGTTTCTATCATTCATTTTGTACATTATTTTTTCTATTATATTTTTTATGTTGTCCTAAACATAAAAATTGTTTTTTAGAATTTTTTTTTTATTTAAGATCTAATGAATATTTTTGTCATTGGACGTTCAATGATTACACGATGCATATATTTTTTTTATTTAAAGATTTTTTGTGCTATAAATATTTTTAATTGTTCTTTTTCAATTATGTAATTCAATTTAATTTTTAATATATTTTTGTACTTATTTGAAATTTGTAATTATTTAAATAAATAGCTATAAGATAACATTTTGCTAAAATATATTTAATAAGAACAATTATGTTTTTATTTTTATATTTTTATATTATACAAATAATATTTTGTTTATTATATTATACTACATCATAATTAATGTAGAAAAGAAATCTAAAAAGTAATAAAAAATTAAATATATATATATAGATATATTATTTAATTTAAAGATCTTTATTATAAAGTAATAATAAATACTTAATGAAATTTGGTAACAAAATGAAAAAAATGGGCGTATTTATTTTTGCGTAGTTTTTTACGATTATATCCTAAAGTATTAACGATAGGAAAATATATTTAATGATAAAATATTTTTTGAATTAAATTTTCAATAATATTTGTCTTTATTACTTTTTCCATAAAACGGCTCATTCGATCACAAAATAACAAAAATTCATTTCTAGAGTTTTTTATTATAGTATCATACGTTTATATTGACAAACTAATAGATTATTTTTGTTTGTTGATTTCTACAAGGTATAAATATTATCAAAATAGTATGGTCAGATTGGACATTACCTACTTAAAAATAACTATTATTATTAACTGTGTTGATTACATGTGATATCATAAACTACAGCATTTTAATTCATATCTTTACATCAATAATAAACGTTAACGTTTATCATTGAGGTTTCATCGAGATAATCTCTAGTCTGTGTATTTTATGATTTTTTAAACTCAATTATTACTTTTTTATTTAATGGAGACTAAAAGAAATTTACCAAAAAGTATTTATTTAATTGGTAATAGTTCACATCAACTCGTTGGATGTAAATTAGCATCAAATAAACAAGTTTTATTGGTATTATTTTTTAATATTCGAGAAGTTAATTTGAGTGTTCGTGATAGTGATGAAACATTGATATTCTGACAAAAAGCTCGAATAACTACTAAAGAAGTTCGTAATTGTTTACCAAAATTAGAGGAATTGTACAATACATGTCGTAATTTACAAAAAAATTCAAGTCGGCGTACATATACTCAGAAAGATAAAGGAAATTACAGTAGAACTCCAATTATCCGAACTCCAATTATCCGAACTCCGACCATCCGAATCGCCGATTATCCGAATCACTTTCAGAAAAAATCAGAAAAAAATTTGTCCAAAGTCCGCGGCGTCAGTGTAGGCACAACACGTGGTAAGAGTTCCCACTCCAGTTCCGGCGCATTGCAGTCACCTGTCATTGTTTGTTTTGATTAGTCAGTGTGCTAAATTGACCTTGCTCGAGAACGCTACTCTTTCGCTACGGCTTACTTTTGTTTGTGCGTGTACTGTATTGTTTTTTACCATGGCTTCGAAAAGAAAACGTGTTGTGCTATCGTTAGCGGACAAACTGAAAATTATAGAGCAACTCGATAAAGGTGTAACGGGTAAGAAGTTGTCTGAGATTTATGGTGTTGGACAAGCAACAATTTGTGACATTAAAAACAGTAAGTCAACACTTTTAAACTTTGTTTCGGTGCTTGAAAATGAAGATGGAAGTTCCTCCAGGAAAACAATGAAGACAGCAACCAACAAAAATTTGGAAGATGCCGTGTTTAAATGGTTTTTGCAGCAACGTTCTATGGGAAATCCGATTTCAGGTCCAATCCTTTGTGAAAAAGCCAAAATCTTAGCAGAAAAGCTTGGTTATTCCTCTTTTAAGGCATGTAACGGCTGGCTAAGGAACTTTAAATTCAGGCATGGTGTACGCGAGTTAGATTTGGCTGGTGAGAAGCTTTCAGCAGACTCTGCAACTGCTGAAAATTTTATTGAAAAATTTAAAACTGCAGCAGAATCCTATGATCCGGAGTTTGTTTATAATGCCGATGAAACTGGCCTTGTTTGGAAAGCATTACCAAAAACCACTTTGGCTTCTAAAAGGGAATCTAGTGCCCCTGGACATAAGGTCAGTAAAGAACGTGTTACAGTGCTTAACTGTGCCAACTCCGCTGGAAATCATAAACTACCACTTCTTTTGATAGGAAAATCAAAAAATCCAAGAGCATTTAAAAACGTAAAAAAACTTCCACTCTTCTACAAAAGTCAACCCAAGGCCTGGATGACTGCAGCTTTGTTTACCGAATGGTATGATGAAGTGTTTATTTCTGAAGTGAAAAAGCACCAAAAATCGGTGAAAAAAGAAGGCAGTAAGGTGCTTTTAATTGTTGATAACGCACCCACTCATCCTATAGCAGATCTGTTGGAAAGAGAGAATGGGCAGTTTAAAACGACGTTTTTGCCTCCCAATGTTACAAGTTTGCTGCAACCCATGGACCAGTCTGTTATTGAAACAATGAAGCGCCATTATAGAAGGCAACTACTGAGAAAACTGCTGATCGAAGGTACTGAAGATGAAGAATTGGTTTTGGCAAATCATAGCAAAATAAATTTAAAGGACTGCTGTTACATGGTAGCGGAAGCTTGGAGTTTGGTTACGGCAGTGACGCTAAGACGTGCGTGGAATAAACTGAAAGGCCTACCGTCTGAGAAGAACAAAGAAGAAAATGGAGAGGATGAAGATGATGAAGATGCGTTGCCACTAGAGGAAATAAGAAAAATGATTGTAAAAATTCCTGGTTGTACAGAAGTAAGTGCTGAAGATGTAGGAGAGTGGATGGCTTGTGACACGTCTGACCCTGGTTTTCAAATTCTCAATGACGATGAAATTGTTGAAAGTGTGAGAGAAGATGTTGAAGTGGAAGTGGAAGAAGAACTTTCGCTTGATGTTGAAGTAGACGCTGGACCATCAGCTAGTGAAGCATTTGCCGGCCTCGAGACTGCTTTGAAGTGGATGGAGCGTCAGCCCGAGTGTGACCACTTGCAACTGCTCACCGTCAAGCGAATGCGTGACCTGGCTGCCCGAAAACGGATGAAGACCGCAAAACAGCTTACATTGACGGAGATGTTTAAAAAACAATGATTTTTATTTCTAAACTTGTAAGTACATTTTATTTATATTTAAAACATGTGAAAATATCATGTTTCTTTCATTTAATTCAATAAAAAAATAGTGCAATATCAAAACGTAGCGTTTTTTCTCTCCAATGGCAATTTTTTAAAAAAAAAACTCCGATTATCCGAATATTTGATTATCCGAATGGGTCCCGGTCCCCATTAATTCGGATAATTGGAGTTCTACTGTAATTTGTACAATGTTTTGATGAGCTATTTGATATTGCTCATGCAGATGCATTAGACATGATGACTATTGATATAGATAAGCAGTTTTTAATAAGTCAAAAACAAAAAGGTCGTCCAGGATCACTTATTGGCGTTGATGTAACTTACCAAAAAAAATAATTTAAGCAATTTAAAAAATTTAAAAAATTTGAGAAAAAAAGAAAACTTAATGAAGATGAATTCAAAATAACTAGTAAGTATTTTGAGTTATAAATAAACAATGAATAGTATAGTATTGTTCAGTCATATGCAATTTTTATTTAAATTTTAGCTAAAACTGTGGAATTCTGTTCTACATGCGACGACACAGAAGAAAGTTTGCCTAATGATTGTGAGTTAGATTAAAATATTACGATCTATAAATTATTTACAACGATCTATACATCATTATATTCATTAATTTATATTGTTTTATAGTTGTAAACAATGATGACTTCAGTAATTTGTTTGATGGCAATGTTAAAAAAACTAAAGATCAAATATTAAATTTAGAAGATATTAATTTTTCACCGGGTCCGTCTAATAAAACTAATGTTTTGCCAATATCAAGCTCCATAAAACAAAGAGGTACAATAGACATATTGACTGTAAAGTTATCTTCAGTATTAGATAGGTGCAAAATAAGCGACCGAGACGCAGTACACATTATAATTGCAGTGGCTGAATCATTAGGGCATGATGTCAATAATATCATAGTTAATAGGTCATCAATTAAACAACATCGTGAAAAAATACGTTGGAATTTAGCTACAGAAATTCGCGACAAATTTTCTGTGACTAATCTCAATGCCATAGTTTTACTTTGGGACGGCAAATTATTACCTGATTTATGTAGTAAACAAATAGTTGATACTACCTATAATTATTTCAAATAATGGAAATGACCAACTATTAGCAGTACCAAAGATGTAAACGGAACTTTTAAATCACAGGCTGAGGCTATATATCAAACGTTGGTCGATTGGGGTTTAACAAACCACGTAAAAGCTATGTGTTTTAATACTACAGCCACTAACACAGGTAAATAAAACAATTGTTTATTATTATCTATTTTATTCAGTCGAAGTTAAACGAAAATTATTATTTTTGTGTAAAAAATCACCGTTTTTCGTGTTGTTACTTTTACTTAAAACTATATTAACTGTTATTTATAATTTTGTATCCTTCAAAATTTAATTGAAAATATAAATAGTAATATTAATTATCATTTAGGCAGGATTGGAGGTACGTGTGTTTTGTTAGAACAATGGTTAGAAAAAAACATTTTATACTTTCCGTGTCATCATCATATTTACGAGATTATTTTAAAATATACATTTGACACAAAATTTGGTGTAACTTCAGGAACGAATATCCCCTTATTTCTTCGTTTTCAAAAGTCTTGGCCAAAAATTAATACTGAAAATTACAAGTCCGGTATCGACGATCGATTTATTTTTGAAAAATTGCAAAGTTCTATTGATCACATTTTAGAGTTTTGTTTAAATCAATTAAAACTATCCCACATTAGAGAAGATTATAGAGAATTTCTAGATCTAACAGTAATCTTTTTAAATGGAGTTCCGCCTAGAGGTGTATTATTTAGAGCTCCAGGAGCGATTCACCATGCTCGATGGATGTCAAAAGCGCTTTATACTCTTAAAATATTTATTTTTCGTGAAGAATTCAAGTTGACACAAAAAAAATATAATTCAATCTCGAGTATATGCATTTTCTTGGTTAATTTATACATCAAAGTTAAGTTTAATGCGCCAATAGCTGCTTTTTCGCCTCGACAAGATTTAGAATTTTTAAAAAATATTTTCCAATACAAAACCATAGATGAAGAATTACCTAAAAATAATTTGAAAAAATTTGTTAATCATTTATTGTATTTAACTTCAGACAACATTGCTTTAGCATTTTTCAATAAACATATTCCACACGAGACAAAAACTAAAATGGCATTTAACATTAAAAGAATTGATACTGAAAATTTCGATGGGGAAGAATATTATGTCATGTATTTGATATTATTATGCATATATTTGGACTTCAATGAAGTATCAAACTTTATAAAAAATAAAAACGGTAGCACAGTGGGGTCGAGGCATAGATGGGACAAGTATAGATGATATCTGACAGTGATTGAAATCACTATCATAAGAAACGCTTCGATGCAAATCTGTAGATAGTGTTTCATTTAGAGAAATTGGTGGATTATTCCAAAAGCAACATCAACTCTTATTTCTTTAATTATGACCTGATTAGTAGTTCTTTGATTTTAAAATATAATATATGAATAAATACAAATTATAGTTTTTAAATTTAGTATGAAATTGATATTTAATAATATAATATTGTAATTTAAACGGAGAAATTATAAAAATAATAAAGAAGTTATATTTTGCTTTACTTTTACAATAATTATCAATAAAAACTGTTTGTTACTATAAATGAATACAGTGGACTTCAAGGAACTTTCATCAGAAGCAAAAATATACTTTTCTAAATCAAATTTCTGCGTTGTTTTCAAATCTGCAATTAAACTTTATCTATCAGTTCTAATTTTTTATATTATTACTAATTACATATAAAAAATAATTAAAAGAAAAAAAAATTGTTTTCAAATTATTACTGATTTGATTTTTAATATGTTAAAAATAATCAGTCCAAATTTTCATTTTTAACCTATTTTTTTGGTTCTTTAAAGTTCTTTAAACAAAGAAAAAAATTCCCAACCAAATTTTGTTTTATTAATAGTTGAATTAAAATATGTATAATGACATACTAGTAGTTCTCATTGATTGAAATTGATCTTTTTTTTTACAGCCTCGCAAAAGTTAAAAAATATGAGCTTTTTTAATTTTCTCAAAAAATATTTAACTTACAAAAAAAAGTTTTGTACAAAAGTTGTTTAAGAGACAATTATAAACAAAACAATTATCTTATATTTTTTCATTTAAACAAATATTTTTCGAGTTACATTACATTTAATATTAGTACTAAAATTTATATTCCATTTTTTTCATTTTACGGTTACTTTTTATCATGTTATACTTACATTAGACACAATGTTATAAATGCATATGTGTGTATGTGTGAGTTTATTTATTTATAGTATCATTTAAGTTTAGTGTATATTAAGATACAACCGATAAAGTAGGTAATTGATTTGACACTNCGATAGAGTAGGTAATTGATTTGACGCTATATTATTTAAACCCAACTAAACGCTAAATTGTACATTCCCAAACAACAATCATATTATGTCAATTGTCACCGGAATNAACAATCATATTATGTCAATTGCCACCGGAATTTCTGGTAATCTTTTTCTTTTTCTTTGCCTTAATCCCAACTACTTGGGGTCGGCCACCCTTATCCTAAGATTTCACTTGACACGATCTTCCACATCTTCTACGCTCACATCAGCTGTCCTCAAATCGCATACAATAGCATCCCTACATCTCTTTTTTGGTCTTCCTCTATCTCTTCTTCCTTCATTCATTTCTATAACTGTTCTTACAGCTTCCAATTCTTCTCTCCTCATAGCATGACTAAACAATCGAAGGCTATTTTCTGTCATCTTATGNTTTCCTCATACCATGACTAAACAATCTAAGTCTATTTTCTGTCATCTTATCCACGATTGACGCAACACCTATACTTCCTCTTATATGCTCGTTCCTTATCCTATCTTCTCTAGTCACTCCACTCATCCAACTAAGCATTCTCATCTCTGCTACACTTATTCTCTGCTCTACTTTCTTATCAACCGCCCAACACTATGAACCATACATCATAGCTGGCCTCACAATTTCATACTGAATTTAAAAACTATAATTAGTATTTATTCATATATTATATTATAAATGATTTAATGATTTTTAGCTACACAAATGTAAAATTAATATGAATAACTCGAGTGTAATTATTCTGAAATGATCTAGAATTTTCGTGATGGATATACTAACACAAACTGCATATACACACGAAGATTCTCGTACATATTAAAATGAAATACTTAAAATGAAATACTTAAAATGTCCTTTGTATAATATATAGGAATGTGTCAATACTGTAGTTAACAATTAACAGTTATAGAACTGAGTTAACAAATATGTCACACAGTGTGACATGTATTATATGTAAATATATTAAGTGTATAAAAAATAAATATTCTGTCATTTTTCTTTAATATAAAATCAGTGTTTTCGTTATATTTCAAAACACTAAAGAGGTGAACTCAGTGAACGAAAATTAGGCGTTCACAACACATGGAGCATTTCGGCCAGTATATATTAACACCATCGACAAACGATTTGTACCCGTTCTCATCAACCCGCTAACACACACACACATACATTGATTTTTTCCTCTCCTTTCCATCATTCTGAGCCTTAATCGGGATAAATGCGAGGAAAAAGAAGAAGCATCCTACTAAAACCGATTTAGACAGATTATAAAATATACTAAAATCATCATTCCAACCCATCAACATTAACGCAAAGCATGACTGTCCATTTCATACAAATAACCGGAGTATCCAGTATTAGCCAAAGCCTTAAGGTTATCATAAGAAAAATAACTAATAGCTAAGCAGGAATTTTAAAAAATAGTATACTACAATAGATCCTTATCAAAACGTACCTACATACCAAGAGACTTTGTAACCTGTACCCGTGTATATCAAAGAATTGATGCTATAAGACCAATGCTAGTAACTAAGGGTCGGTAATTCAATTCTGGTCTCTGGAGGGTAAAAAAAAGGCCCATCAAAAATTTATGTTTGATTTATTAACGGATTTAAGATAATACCAATTTTCAAAAAGCTTACCCAGAACAAATAGTATTTTTTTCTTTTTAATAC